CATGGCACCCAATTAACACGCACACTTGTATTTTCATAAATGAGTCAACAAAGTAAATATTGATTGATTAAATTAAAATTCCCTAGGAGACAGGTTTCATAGAAAAGGCAGAATTTAGGATGGAACTCAAAAGAGGATGGTTTTTTTTTTTTTTTTCGTCTCCCCCTCTCATAGTGAGGAACATCAAAGAAAGGCATTCCTGATTGGGGGAAAAAATGTCAGGAGCAAAAACAGAGTTGAGGGGCACCCAGCAGAAGGCCTAGGATGTGCTCTGTTTGCATACCACAAAAAGAGAGAAAAGGTGTGTGTGTGTGTGTGTGTGTGTGTGTGTGTGTGTGTGTGTGTGTGTGTGAGATATGGGGGCGGAGAAGGACACCATACTATTTATGATAATACAAGCTGGAAAGCAACAAAAAGGAAACAAATATATCAAATACACCTCACATCTCCAGTGGACGATCACAGCATTTAGAAGATCCAGGGTAGGTTTGTATCGATGCACGCTGTAGAAAGCTGTAATTTCCCCAGCATTTGCCATAACACACAGCAATGGTCTAAGAGCTGTCCCACTTCCACGAGGCACAATGAACAGTGACAGACAGCAAGTGGGGATTGCTCAGCCCCACCCACCAGACTCTATCCCCTTCTCCCACCCTTTTCTACCCAGGCTTTGGGCAGAGAGCCCTGGTTTTTCTTCTGATTCATTAGAAGAAGCCCTGTCGTGAGAATGATAGATTTACCAAGGAATAACCATCACTAACATTTCAGACTCAGGCAGAAAAGACTACAGAGAGAGCCTTTTGCTACCTAGAGCAGTGATTTTGTTGTCTGCAACCCGTTTTAGACGTGATGCTTGATTTAAACTGAACTTACCCCTCACAGCCTGGATACAGTGAGTACCATCTGCCCTTTAGAGAGATGACTGCAGGGACATTTATCTTTCCAAAAATCTGGAGTTAGAGCTTTCCCTTCTATCTGGTTTCAGATTCCTCCAGGGCTTTCTCCTGCATCTTTAGAGAAGTGTAATACTTGAAGGCTGTTATCAGTGGGATCCTAGCCTGGGGCGTGCTCTTGCTAACTTGCATGGGATGGTGTATGAACTAGAGGCCCGCAGAGGGTAACTTCCTGTTGTTTGTCTTTTTCCAGGCAGAGCCTAGCCCGTCCATCAAGAGGCCATTCACTGAGGGACATGGTGGTGCCACACTTGAGAGGCAGAGACTAGAGGATTGCCACAAGTTCGAGGATAGCCTGGCCTGTCTCAGGCCAACCAGGTCTGCAAAAAGCGAGGCCAACAACAAAAACTACAAATAAACAAAACCCCAAACAAACAATTACAAAAGTAGGACTTTACAGTCAATCCTGCAGTTCTGGGGCTGCCATAAACATTTCATTTAGCCACTAGAAATAGAAAACAAAACGAAATCCACCACAAATCCTTAAGTGCCTGGATGCTGGCACAGAATTCGTTGCCTCTGTGGTGGACGGTGGGTATAAAGGGGAATCTTGAAGGGCGAAGCTGGGGTTTTAAGCCGGGGTTTAACTGAAGCGAACAGAATCAGAAGGCTCAGGCTGTGAAGAGTCTTGTTTTGGGTCCTTTCAAATCTCCAGATGGAGATGCCCAGGTGGCACGACATTCTAGAGAGAGGAGGCTTGGCACTCCGCATTTGGGACTTGTCACTCACATGGAATTTGAAGCTCTGGGTAGATGTGCCAAGAAAGCATGAGAATGTCTGGCATTTGAGACAATTTGTAAATACATGGGTTGGAAAAAATGGGAAGTGAAATGGACTTATTTTAACAATGTGCTTTCGAGCTCACCAGGAAACTACAAAACCTGGTGGAATACCTTGTCAAGCTCGGCTAGTCTGCTTCGTATTGTGGACAAATGATCTTAAGCATTCACCGGCTCTCAAAGGACGACATCCAGGATTTTTGGCCTGAGCACCTAGAGGAATGTAGTTGTAATGTGCTGACTGGGGGAAGACGGGGAATAGGTTGTGTAGGGCGCGGTCAGGAAGCTCCAACAAGTCAATCAAACAGGGAAGTTGGGAAGGCTGTAGAAGAAAGAATTCAGGGGAGAGGCAGGGCTAGAGATTAGATTTGGTTTTATTAGTACATCCATAGTGCTTGAATGGGATGTGAACAGAGCCGAAGAGATCATCAGGGGTCATGTCCTCACTTGGGTGTACAAAGGAGATTTGAGGGCAGTGGAAGAGGGCAGCGAAGTCATGAAGGAAAGAGCTGAAGTGGTGTCTAAAATGCCAATTATCTTAACTATAAAAGAACTTAAAATGCCAAAGACTCTCACATGCTTCCTAAGCTCACACCATCCATAGAATGTAGTCGGTTTGATTTCTGTCATGTCTGCATTTAAGCTGAAATCTCTCTAGTATTTTAGACACACACCTGATGAGAATGTAATTACACCATCCAAGCCATCTTTGAGTGGCTTTCCCAAAGCAGACTCTTGGAGATCATGTGTTCACTTACAGTGTTGCCCATTGTTTAGGGTCTTTGGTCATGTGGTAGGAAGTTGGACTCTGAGGGACTGCCACGCTCAAGCACTCTTTAGAGTTTCTTCATCCTGTATTTGAGGGAGAAGGGCTGGATGATCACATAAGTGAATGCCTAGGGGTTTTGTTTCTTTGCTAACTTTAAGCAACTTGAGTGATAACAACTTGATTGGAGTTTGAATTTTGTAATTTACCATTCCTAGTCCTTCTAGATTATGTCAAGGTCTTTCTCTGGAATACTGAACCTTGTATCACAGAAAATTTCCAAACTGTATGTCTAGAACCCATGGGTCCGTGAACTTGGGTAGGAAAAGCATTGCATATTTATTTGTGAACTTTCTAATAAAACCCAGCATATTTTTTCCTTCATGGATGGAGGCAGCATATCACATCACCTTCTGGACTTTGTCACCAGCTGAAAACCACAGCTATCTTCGCATTATTTTCCAATTGTTCCAGGAATCTCCAAGGCTTTAAGAGAGTCGCAGTATTTCACAGACTTGGTGCTATCTCCTACTGGCTTACAACAAAGCACCAGACAGATGGCTCAGTGGTGAAGAGCACTCGCTGCTTTTCCAGAAGACCCAAACTCAGTTCCTAGGATTCACATCATGTGGATCACACACCTCTAATTCCAGTTACAGGGGATCTGATGTGCTCCCTGGGGTACCCACATGCAGACACACACACACACACACACACACACACACACACACACACACACACAAAGCACACATCTGTGGGTCCCTCTGTGATCTTTTGGATTTGGCTTTGTCCTAATAGGCATTTTATTGTGGTCTGAGAAGGGACTTCACTGGTCTTGCTGGAGCGATGAGGCAGACAGGCTAAGTCCTTGCTGCCTATGAACTTACATCCTTTATGCATTTGCTTCTTATCCAAGGTGTCTCACCTTGATGTGGTATTCGTACTAACAAGGACATCAACTTCATTCATGAGTTTTTTTTTCTTGCCAGAAGTTTGATGTATTATAAGATGAATCTCTTATTCTTCCTTGTTTATTTATGGCTTCTGGGTTTTGAGTATTTCTTGGCAAGGCTTCCTCCATTCACAAGTTACAAAAGTATTCTGTACTCCCCATTTTTTTTTTTTTTTCTGAGACAGGGTTTCTCTGTGTAGCTTTGCGCCTTTCCTGGATCTCACTCTGTAGCCCAGGCTGGCCTCGAACTCACAGAGATCCGCCTGGCTCTGCCTCCCGAGTGCTGGGATTAAAGGCGTGCGCCACCACCGCCCGGCCCTGTACTCTCCATTTTATTTCAATTTTTTGTTCATTTATTTGTTTGTTTCTTTGTTTTTAAGACAGGATTTCTGTGTAGTTCTGTGCAACACAAATCTTAAAAGGTCTTATTAACAAAAACAAACCTGGTGCCAGTTATTGGGGTGAATGCTGGAAGATCAGAGAAGCATTACAAGCCACAACTACCTCACCTGGCCAATTTCTCAGCTGATTCTATTTCCTCAGACTGGAAGCCTCTGAGTCCTCATCCGAATGGATCTCAGCTGAACTGTGCTACTCAAAAGCCTAAAAGCTTAACCAGGCTCTAGTTCCTGGTCCTCATGCCTTATATACCTTTCTGTTTCCTGCCATCACTTCCTGGGATTAAAGGTGTGTGTCACCATGCCTGGCTGTTTCCAGTGCGACATTGAACTCACAGAGATTCCGATGGATCTCTGCCTCTGGAATGCTAGGATTAAAGGTGTGTGTGCCACCATTTTCTGGCCTCTATATCTAGTAGCTGTTCTGTTCTCTGACCCCAGATAAGTTTATTAGTGTTCACAATATATTGGGGGACACAATATCACCACCATTCTGGCTGTCCTGGAACTCACTCCATAGACCAGTCTGGCCTGGAAGTTAGAGAGCCCCCTGTCTCTGCCTCCTGAGTGCTGGGATTAAAGGCCTAGGCCACCACACCTGGCTTAATTTTTGTTTTTTTGAGACATTGTTTCCTATATAGCCCTTGCTGGTCTGGAAGTGGCTTTGTACGCCAGACTGGCTTGCACTTGAAGTAATGCTTCTGCCCCTGTTTCCATAGTGGAGTGTTAGACACTGGTCCAGCTTCTTCCAACATTTTAATAGGGCTTTTGTTTTCAACCAGTATATTAATCCAACTGGAATTTGTTATAATGTAAGAAATTAACTTTTTATTTGTTTTTCTAAAATGGTAGCAAAATATTCCATTGATTGAATAGTTAATCTTTTCCTAGCTCACCTTATTTTTAAGAATCTTTATAGTATATTTTATTATATACTATATATGTATACTCCATAGTATATTGATATACAGTTAACATGTATAATTTGGTAAGTCTTAACTTACTTTTTTTAAGTTTTAACTTACATATAGACAAGTGAAACCATCACTATGATAGAGATAGTGAGTCATTTTTATTTATAAATGACTTACTTGCATTTATTTATTTATTAATATATATATATTTGTACAATCCATGATTCAAAGACACATTGTTACGTATTGAAATGTTTCTGTGTTACTACACACCTAACCCCAGCTCCAACTCTTTAGTTCCTTCTCTGGGCGTAACGGATGTTCTTTGTTTCTTTTGTGTTTTAGTGCAAGTATTTTATATATAAATAAGGAAACATATAAACATCATACATATACACAAAATAGTATAAATGTTGTTTTTTCACGTTTCTGTTTTTTCTTATCAATTTTTTTTAAACCAAGAAGGCAGTTGTGGTTTTGTTTAAACACAAATAAAACACGCGCGCACACACACACACTCTACTCATTTTCTTCACTGCGAAGCCTGGCGTTGGGCTTGGTGACTCTGACGGCCAGCTGTGCTGCTCTTTCCATGATGGCTTTTTGGTTCTTGAAGGAAACGTTGTGAGCATTCTCAGCACAGTAAGATTTGTTGCACATCAGCCCCACTTCCGGCTCCTTGACATTGTGGACCAGAAACTTCCGGAAGCCGCTAGGCAGCATGTGCTTGGTTTTTCTTTCTTTCTTTTCCTTTTTTTTTTTTTTTTGTTGTTTTTGGTTTTTTTCAAGACAGGGTTTCTCTGTGTAGCTTTACACCTTTCCTGGAACTCACTCTGTAGCCCAGGCTGGCCTCGAACTCACAGAGATCCTCCTGGCTCTGCCTCCCGAGTGCTGGGAGTGCTCGGTTTTCTTGTCGCTCCCGTAACCAATGCTAGACATTAGAATCTGGCCCTTGAATCTTCTCCGCACCCTGTTGGCAATACCTCTGGGTTTCCACCAGTTTCGCTTAATTTTGACCTATCATTCTGACTGGTGCCAGTTGAACTTGGTCCTCTTTTTGACAATCTTGGGTTTCACCAGAGGGCAGAGGTGATGCCATGATGCCACTAAAGAGATGGCAGCCTCTTCGCAGGCAGCGCCGGGGAAGAAGCCCCTTATTAATATTTGAATCTCATTTTGTGTCTATATTTGAAAAGATTCTGCACTCTTTTTTATTTCTGCTTAGAACAGCCTTTTCTGAATAAGTATTTATTGAAATTGTACCAGGCGTGAAGCCCTTCTTTCGCCTTTGATACATCAGTGAACAAAACAATCAGGAATCTCTTGCCATATGTCATAGTCTTAGTGATAGCTACCATAAAGCAATCAGCTCCCTAATAAGACCTTCAGATGACTCCAGTCTTTTGAGACTATTCTAATTGCTGGAGACAATACTTGGTGCTTATAATGTTCTGGACACATGCACATATGTTAGCAGGAAGCAGTTCTAGAAGTGGAATTCTGTGGTCCCAAGATATGTGCCCATGAGAAGTTTGACTGATGTGGTCCAGTTATTCTCAGTAGAAGAATAACTATTGATTTATATTCTTACAATTATATACTGATATTGCTGGTTTCTCTGTGAGTGTTTTGTGTAGGTTTAGCTTTGCAAACTTAATAGGCAGAAAAGAAAACCTGTTAGTTTAGTTTACTTATCTTCCTAATGAATGACACTAAACATTTTATGCTAGCTTTAGAAGTCATTCTGTGTTGTATCTTGTTTAAAAATTATTTTTGACATTTCATGCATATATACACTATGTTGCAATCTATTAATCCTCCATTTCCCTCTGTCAGCGCTCTTTCACTCCTTCAGACACCCTCCTTTGCAGCTGGTCCCTCCCCTGCTTTGTATGTGTGTACGCGTGAGCACACTCACACCTCGATGAGTTTAATCATATCATTGCATATATGAGCACGAGTGTTGATCTATTTCCCGGAGCAGTGGCCATGTCACTGAAGAAAACGACTCTCCTGCCAATAGCTTCTCAGAGAGAGGTGAGCTTCACAAGCCCCGCCCATTCATGACAAAAACGTGGAAGGGCCCAGCCTTCTGCAGTTCTTGTGGACATAATCACAGCAGGTGTGTGCTCAGGATCCTCACAGCCCTATCATATCCAGAACATAGACTCTCACAGCACCTCTCTTCATCCTTTACCTTTAAAATCTTTCCTCTGTTTTCTATCATTGTGGTGGTTTGGTTGAGAATGGCCCCCGTAGGCTCATATGTCTGAATTCTTGGTTCCCTAGTTGGTGGAATTGTTTGGGAAAGGTTAGGAGGTATGGCTTTGTTGGAGGACATCTGTCACTGGGGGGAAGGGGGTGGGTAGGCAGGCTTTGAGGTTTCAAAAGCCCAGGGCTCGCTCTCTCTCTCTCTCTCTCTCTCTCTCTCTCTCTCTCTCTCTCTCTCTCTCTCTCTCTCTCTCTCTCTCTCTCCTCTGTCTCATGCTTCTGGATCAGATGTAAGCTTTCAGTTTCTGCTTCAGTGCTATGCCTGCCTGCCAGCCAGTTGCTGTGAACCTCATGGACTCACCCTCTGAAGCTGCAAGGCTCCTGTAAATCCTTTTTTTCCATACGTTTCCTTGGACGTGGTGCTCTGTCACAGCAATAGTGAAAGTAACCAAGACAATGATAGTCCCTGACCCTTGGCAGGAGTGATACAGATGTCTCCTTGATATAGGTGATGTAGGGTTCACCAGGCAGCAGCCACTTATTTTCAACACTTTGATCTGTTAAGAATCCCTTCATTAACTCTCACTACAAGAAGAAGCCTTTCTGACTGAGGCAGAGAACAGCATTGTTCTATGGATATATTCTATGTAGACATTAGAAAGCAGTTTGGATACATGTCAACTTGGTGAAGTAGTAGATTCTGCCAAGAGCCTGTGACCTCCCCAGCCCTAGGATTTGACCAGGTTCATAATAGCAGGCATGACTTCCCTCCTGTGGAATGGGCCTCAAAATCTAACCAGAAAGCAGTTAGTTGTGGTGATATTGTGTTCCCCAAAATATTGTGCACCCTAATAAACTTATCTGGGGTCAGAGAACAGAACATCCATAATATTAAACATAGAAGTCAGGCAGTGGTAGCATACGCCTTTAATCCTAGCATTCTGGAGGCAGAGATCCGTCTGGATCTCTGTGAGTTCAAAGCCACACTGGAAGCAGCCAGGTGTGGCAACAAGAGCCTTTAATCCCAGGAAGTGATGGCAGAAAGCAGAAAGGTATTTAAGGCGTGAGGACCAGGAACTAGAGCTGGTTAAGCTTTTAGGCTTTTGAGCAGCCCAGTTCAGTTGAGAGGCATCCAGTCTGAGGAAACAGGATCAGCTGAGGAATTGACAAGGTGAGGTAGCTGTTGCTTGTTCTGCTTCTCTGATCTTCTAGTATTCACCCCAATACCTGGCTCCAGGTTTGTTTTTATTAATAAGACCTTCTAAGATTCATGTGACAGTTAGTTACACCCTCTCCCCCAAATTTGTGCCGTTATTACAGCCGTGGGAACATCTTGTCAGGTACATGAGTGCTGTAGCACACAGTTCTGGGTTGGTAAGGTTGTTGACGGAAAGACCAAGAGCAGGCACAGCACCTTCTGACTTTATAAATACCTGCCACATGTCTTTTGTCTGTTTACCTATTGAGTTATTGGTCTTATTTTACTGGTTTCTAGAAACTTCAGGTAATAAGAAATTTTTTGTGTTTCATCTGTGGTTTAAGCTTCCAGTGTTTATTCACTTTGTCATTTATTTTTGGTTGCGATTTCTGTGGGTTTTTCTGTTCTTAGTTTTCATTTTTATGTAGGCAAAATGATCAGTCTTTACCTTTATAATTTCTGGGGATTTTTGTAGTACTCTGAAAAACGTTTCCCACTCCTCTATAAGAAGACATCAATGATTTTTTTTCTTTGAATTTCATTTTTAAAATTTTTTATTTACATGCTTACCGTAATTGGAATTATCTCACCATAAAGTATAATTTAATCAATGGGCTTCACGTTTTTTTAACCAATTTAATTAGTATATTTCTGCAATATATGGACCTATTTTTGGACATTCTAATCCAACCCACTTGTTTGTATGCACATCCACTGTGTGAATACTATTACAGTTTTAATCATTTTAGCTTTATTATAGTTCTTCACAGCTCTCTTTGCTATTCTTTTGCTTTTTAAAAAATGTATATATATATATATATATATATATATATATATATATATATATATATATATATATATGGACTGGAGAGATGGCTCATTGGTGAAGAGCATTTTCTTTACAATCACAAGGATTACAGTCTAGATCCTAGAACTAACCTAAGGGGGACTTTCCCACAAACATCTGTAACCAGAACTCTGAGTGGGTAGAAACAGGAAGGTGGCTAGGATTTGCTGGCTTCTGACAGAGATGACAAAATGTGGGCCTCGGGTTCAGGATCAGACCCTGCTTCGAAGGAAAGGGTGGAGAATGACAGAAGTGGACACCCAACTCCCTCTGTGGCTTCCATATATACCTGGACACACATGTGCAAATATGCTCACACAAACACAAATACATCTCAAAAATAAATATGTATTTATGATGAGCTGATATATCCTAATATTTGGTAAGGATTTCCAAGGTTGCCTAATAAACACACAGTTATCAATTTACATTGTTTTTCTTCCTTGAAGTGATTTACAAATAATGATTTTTACAGTGTCATGGACATGGAATTCTTGTCTTCTCTTTTGGAATTTGGACATGGAGTTCAGCTCTTCCACTGGTCCATGTTTCAAAATAGCATCATCCATCTTTCTTGGAATCTAGTCCATGATCTGTTTTTACTGAGTGATATTGAGCTGGCTACATAGTGTTCCCTTCATCTTCTTAATGTTATCCATGAGATCATAAATATGAACCTTGAGTCTAGAAGAAAAGACTAATGTTCACTGTGGCTTGGTGAACTTGAAACTAAAATTACCCAGAACTTACCACTCAACATCCACTTACTCCACTCCTCTCCCATTGGATTTGGTTGTATCCAAACTGACCATAGTCTCTCCTAACTCACTCGTTCCTCTGGGTGGTCAGTCCTTTTTACCTCTGTCTATTATCCTGAGCCATATGGTTCTGTGGAGTCCTAAAACTTAGACATTGTCCCTTAATTTTTATTTTGAAACAAAATAATGCTTGCTTTTGAATTAATCTTAAACTGTATATCAGCACAGGGTTGAAAAAGAAGAATGGGCTGGGCGGTGGTGGTGCATGCCTTTAATCCCAGCACTCGGGAGGCAGAGCCAGGCGGATCTCTGTGAGTTCAAGGCCAGCCTGGGCTACAGAGTGAGTTCCAGGACAGGCACTAAAACTGCACAGAGAAACCCTGTCTCAAAGAAAAATAAAAACAAAAACAATAATAATAAAAGAATAAAGAAAGAGAAGAATTGGTTTATTTTGACTTTACAGATGAGAAAAAATTATGCTTTATTGCATAACTTTCTGGAGAATTACATCACATTTTTATGGTCTTTCTCTGTGTTTGGTTTGGTTTTAAAATTTTCAGTTTTAAAAATCGTGCTCTAATTGCCACTGTGTACAAGTGCTTTCAACTGAAGAGCCTGTTAATTCTCATCACAGCATCTGTGTTGTATTTTGGGAGGTCCGTGGAACTTAATTAGAAAGAAAGTTGGCTCCAATTTCTTCTTTTTGTCTCCCCACTTGAAGAAATAAAGCCTGGCTGTTTGACGACCCTTTAACAAAATAATTCTTCAGCTTCCTCTTGATTTGTGTTTGTAGCAAGGTTTTCCCAGGGGAAGGCCAAAGGCGACCCTAAAACAGTTCAGGCAGGCTGCTCTATCCCTATTCTATCTTGGGGCTCCAGATAAGAGCCCCAAGGACCAGAACACATTCAACCCTCACTGCAGGACATCGATACTTTATAATAACCTCTCCCACAGCCCTGAGTCCTTAGCATTATTCATTTTGTACCAGTACCCTTAACACAAAGGAAGACTTTGAAAGTCCCTGGATACCACATCCCTGCTGAGAGCCAGGCTGCAGGATCCCACACAGCAGTCATCAAAAAGCCCCCTAATTTTATTTCCATCTCTGGTTTCTGGGCCACAGTCTTCTGCTTGAGCAAGGGAAAGTACAGCTGTGTAAATAAATACAGATGACTGCCACAGGTTACACGTTTCCCCAATCGCTGCATGTCGAGTCTCTGCTGGTTGTATTTTAGAATGGACAGAGACATAGACAGTAAGTGCTCTCTTACACAGTATTCTCCGGTGAGAAACTTGTCAGTTATTAGGCAACTAGAAGAGTGTTCTGTATGAAATAGGGCTATAATGCTGCTGGTAGAGAGAATTGCGTCATGTTGTAGTTAGGAACTTAAAAAAAAAAACCACAAAGCAATTTTTCTAATGTAAAACCAACCAAACACTCATCCAACAAGTGATTATTGAGCATTCTTACAACTCACAGAGTGTGTGAAGACTTTCAACAAGCTTAAATATGGTATGTCTATTTTAGCTAAGGAACAAAACAAAGATACAGGAAGTCATTAACAGTTTAGTCTCTAAATCATTTGACATAATCTAACTCCTTTGCTTATTAGCTCTGTGGCCTTGGGCAAGTTGCAAAGCCTATCTGTGTCTAGTTCTTCCTGTCTAACATTATTTTTCCCATAATATCATTACTGGGATTAAATGATGATGTACAGTGTCTATTCAATAGTTATTCCTCAATATAAAGGTTATTGTATTCAGTTTAATCCCAGTACCAACCATAGAGACCCAGAGGTCTGTATAGACAGGCAGTGATGAGGAAGTGATGTTGCTGGGTTTAGAGCCAATAAGAAGGCAGAACAGCAAGGCAATAAAGGCACAGTTTAGACAGGAAGAAGCTGGATCGGTTCTCATGGGAAGCTATGGTGGCGTGGTGAGCTAAGAAGGTTAGTTGGTGGCTATTACTCTGATTTCTATGGCTTTCACTCCTGTATTTGGCTCTGTGTTTCTTATTTAATAAGACTGTTTAGAAATTCATCTACAAAAACTGACTCTCCTTCCAGAAACCATCTACTGTCAATAGCTCTTTAGTTTGGGGTGGGGGTCATCATAAAGTCCTTTTTACTCCTTGCTAGAACGTTGGCTTGATCTTATGCTGGTCTTGTGCAGACAAACGCAGCTGCTCTGAGGTTATGCATGCAGTGTTCCTGTCCTCCCCAATACCTGTCCCTTACAATCTTTCTATACCTTTTTCCATGATGGTCTCTGATCCTGGGAGCAGGGTATGATATTGATGTGTCATTTTGTGACTGAAAACTTCTCGAACATTTATTTTCTGCATTTTGATGTTATGAGATTCTCAACTAGTCATTGTCCACTGCACAAAGAAACTTCTCTGATAAAGTGTGAGGGTAGGACTAATCTGTAGAGATAGAAATATGAATTTAGAAGGCAGCTGGATGATATGTCTACTTAGCAGAATAAGGTAGTAAGTTTACCCTTAAGGTTGTGACCTCCTATATTAATCAGTATTTCTAGAGTAATAGAACTTATAGAATGAATCTCTCTCTGCATATACATACATATATATACATGCATACATACGTACATACGTATGTACATACATACATACATACACACACACACTCACACATAATATATAAAGGGGATTTATTGGAATGATTTACAGGCTGCAATCCAGCTCAGTCTACAGGGCTGGATGTCTCAGCTGGTCTTCAGCATGTGCTGGAATCCCAAAGAAGTAGGCTAATGCCAGTGAATAAACAGATGTGCTAGCAAGGCGAGGGCAAGCAGATAAAGAGCAAAAGCTCCCTTCTTCTATTTCCTTATGTGGACTTGCAGCAGAAGGTGTGGCCCAGATCAAAGGTGTGTCTTCCTGCCTCATGATCTGAATTGAAGGTGTATCTTTCCACCTCAGGATCCAAAGTAAAAGTGTGTGTCTTCCTGCCTCAAGATCCAGATCAAAAGTGCATCTTCCTACCTCAGAGTTCCAGACTACAACAGGATTCACCCACTTCAAACCAAGCCAAAAAAAAAAAACCAAAAAAACAAAAAACAAAAACAAAAAAATCTCTCACAGGTGTGCCCTCCATTTCTAGATTGTGGTTCATCCCAGATGTAGTCAAGACAACAACCAAGAGTAGCCGTCAGAGTTCCTTAACCACAGGTTCTTTGACAGATTCATGGTACCAGGCATGCATTTCTTTTGCGGAGTAAACCTTAAATCCAACCAGAAAGCAGTTGGTTACCCCCATAACATTTATGCAATTGTTACACCCATGAGAATATATTCCATGCTGCTCATTACTGTAAGTCACAGTGTTTGTAGCTGAGTAAGACTATTGGTGACTTTTACCCTCAAGCAGCCTACTCAGCACCTTCCAGTACTATGAAATCTGGCCAGTGGGGAGGAAGCTTCCTGCTCAGTTTCAGCTTGATCTCTCGATGTCCTGTGGCCACATTAAGTGACATAATCAGCAATTGTGTCTGTCCTGACTAGTTGTATGTCAATTTGAAGCAAGCTAGAGTCATCTGAAAAGAGGGAACCTCCACTGAAAAAGTGTTTCTGTAAGATCATAAGGCATTTACTAATTAGTGATTGATGAGAGAGGGCCCAGCCCATTGTGGATGGTGTCATTCCTGGGCTGGTGGTCCTGGATTCTATAAAAGAGCAAGCAGAACAATGTAGCACAAATCCTAACTGGTCTTAATAAGAAAAACCTGGAGCCAGATATTGGGGAAATGCTGAAAGATCAGAGAGACAAAAGAGCAAGCCACAGCCATCACCGCTACCTTGCCAACTCCTCAGCCTGAGAGAGACTGAGCTCCTGTCTCCTCTCTCTGCCCAGCTACATCACTTCCTGTCTTCACTTCTCTAGTGCTGGGATTAAAGGCGTGAGATCCCAAGGGCTGAGATCAAAGGTATGTGCCATCACGGCCTGGCTCTGTTTCTCTTTTAGTCTGGATCAATCTTGGGTAGCCCAGGGTGGCCTTGAACTCAGAGATCCCTCTGCCGCTGCCTCCAGAGTGCTGGAATTGAAGGTGTGTGCCACCACTGCCTGGCCTCTACGTCTAACTAGTGGCTTAGCTCCTCACTCTGATCTCCAGGCAAGCTTTATTTGTTAGACCACGAACAAAATATCAGCACAGAACAAGGCATAGCAAGCAAGTCAGTAAGCAGCACTCCTCCATGGCCTCTGTATCTGCTCCTGCCCCAGGTCTCTGCCCTGTTTGAATTCCTGTCCTGACTTCCTTCAATGATGAACAGTGATATGAAAGTGTAAGCCAAATAAATCTTTTCTTCCCCAAGTTGTGTTTTGGTCATGATGTTTCATCACAGCAATAGAGACCTTAACTAAGACAGGGTCTTAACATCAAGATCTGGTGGCAAGCCATGAGCAATAGCTTGTGTTGGTTTGTGGGGGGAATCCCTAGGACACCCCCATTCAAAAATTCTAGGGGAGATAATCCATATCTGCTACTGGACATTTTATCGGTTAACCTATGGTTTCTGAAGGAATATTATCCCCTGTATATAGTAACTACAAATAAATTCCTTATTTATCTATATGTCTATATCTGTATATGTTATAAAATAGGTTTCCATATGACTTTTCAAACATCATTCTTATTATTTATACCTCCCCCAGCCATTCCTCACTTAAATCTCTCTCCCCCATTATTTTCTGCATCCTCTTCATATACCTGTGTTCTACTATCTGCCCTTACGATCTCTTTCTCTCATCAATGGTCTCTTTCTAGTTTTTTATATTTTATAGACACTCTAG